TTTTATTTTATTTTATTTTATTTTATTTTTTCCGGAACTGGAGATTGAACTCAGGCCCTTGTGTTTGCCAGGGAAGCGCTTATTCCACTGAGCCTTCTCCCCAGCCCCTCTGACTGATTTTTGACCATGTTAGATATTTGCTGTCTCTTAAGATTCGAAAAGGAAATATTTATCAATAAGATAAACTCCTTTGAAGATGATTACTATGTTCACTAGGAATTATTCTGTGTTCTGAGCTGGGTGGAACATTGGAAAATAATTTTTTTTCTCCTTATTTACAATTGAGACCACAAAGACCAATAGATGTGACTCATCACAGGCACATAGCAGGTAGTAATTAACAGTCAGCACACCTGGTTGCCATTCCTGTATACGTCTCCTTTTAAGATTATGGAAGACTCTTCCAGGTTCTCTTCAGGAATTCATAAGGAACAGAACCTTGTGCCCTGTGTTTGTCAAGTATAAAATAAAGCAATAATTGTTCAAGTACTTGAATAAATCTCAAAAAAAACTTAATGTAAACGTCCTTTTAACCTCTTCTTCACTTGCCTCTTCCTGACCCCACAATTCTCCTTCAATCCATGGAAAATACCCATGTTGTCATTTCTGGGGATACCAATCAGAACTAAATTTCTGTATATTTAAGTATACATATACAATCTGCAATTTGCATTTTTGACTTGTCAGTATATGTGAATATTTGTATAGTGGCACAAATACGGTGTTGCTGCAGTCACTTTACAGATGTACCATTTTTATTCTTTGCTTTTATAGTATTATAATATGGTAATGTGTTTTCGTCCACACAAGTATTTCTTGTGTTTAGGTGCCCAAGGTAGAACTGCTGGTTCAAAGCAAATACAAATTTAAAATTAGAGCACATATTGTTTAATTTCCCTCCAAAAGGGCTTTAGCAGTTGCTGTACCAAAAATGTGTGACAGTGTTTAGTTGTCCCAATTGTTTAACTTTTATTAATGAAGCAACCCCAAAGCATTGATTTTTTTTTTTTTTTTTTTTTATTTTTTTTTTTTTTTTTTTTGTACTGGGAATTGAACTCAGGACCTTGTGCTTGCCAGGCAAGCGCTTAGACTGCTGAGCTATCTCCAAGGCATTCATTTTAGTTCCACTAGGAAAAATAACCTCTTGAGAAATAACTTTCAGCTTCTAAGCTTTTAAATAATCAACCTCCTTAATATTTATGCTAATAACTATATTAAAAAACTTAGAAGTAGTAGTATATCTTCTTTCTGCATAAGCCGATTCTTTTGCAATCTATGACACTAAAATGATGTGCTTTTATTTGAAAATAAGTCTGAAGCATACCAAGATGAAAATATTTCTGTCGTGAAACCTGTCAAAGTGCTGAGAATAACAAATGAAAATGCTTTATAAAGGCACAGTCACCTTGGAAATCCAACTCATTAATCCTGCTACTGTTTTAATGTTGGGAGCAAAGTGGATTTTGCTCTACATGTACCGACTCCACACAAGGAATGTAAATATATATTGCATGTACCAAAAAAGGGTGAAGCATGGAGACTGGAGGAAGGGGAAAGGAATGAGAAAAAGAGTTAAGGTATATTATATAACTTGTGCACTACAAGCATATACTAATAACAAAATTTTTAAAATACTCAAAAGGAAAAAAGAGACCAGATTTTTATAATAAAAAACGCCTTTATCAGCTCAACATTATTGCACATCTATCAGGTACAAAAATAATAACTTCTGCTGAAGGTAGCGGGCACACCTCCTGGCGATTTGGGGGGCTGGGGCAGGAGGCTTACAGGTTGGTGCCACCCTGTGCAGTTGGGGCAGAGAGGGATAGTTCAGTCGTAGAGCTCGCCTGGGTTTATCTCCAGTACTGTCCCTCCCCCCACCACACGCAGCGTCAGCTTTTAAACTAAAACCTAAAATCATTTTGTTCTAAGGAAGTTTTAAACTTTTTAGCAAAGTTGCCAAAACTGGTGGGGGAGAGATTTTCTTTGTTATCCAGCCCTAGAAAGTGATGAAAACCCTGTGGGACATCATGTTGTTTCAGAGATTGGAAAATTTAGTGTGAAAATTGAACTTTTCTAATAGCTTATCTAAATTTATATTCTCTGTCTCCTGTTAGAAAGTTGTCACAAAAAGGCTTTTTTTTTTTCTCTTGTAAAAGTGTTTGGAGGCTGAGGACCCTACATAGTCTTAAGAGTCTATTTTTTGCTTTGCATTTCATATTGTCTTTGGATATTGTCTCGATTGCTTTAATCTAGAGCAACTCTATCCACTAGTCCTTTACCCCAAGACAAGAAACTGAGCGGAAGTGATCGACTATCTTTGCTGTTGCTAAGGTGCCGTCAGTGGCTCCCCTGATCTTTTACAGAGTTTTTGCCTTGTTTTTTGACTTTCAAAAGCATTGTCCACTGTTTTCCTGGACAGTTTTATAGTTTTGGTAGGAAGATATAAATGGCCTGTTTTTTCTCCTTTCCACAAGAGGGTGCTGCTGGGAGGATTTGAAGACTTTGAGTTGAAGGCTTTGGAGTCCCTCAGCCTGCAGAATGAACACCACGTTCTCTTCTGTGAATTCCATTCCTGACGCATCAGAAGGACTTGTAACTCTACACATATGGGTGTTCACTTAAAAAACAAGTTAAATACTTTTGAATAATTAGATTGAGTACTAAACATTGGTTTTCTCAGGGTGTTTAAGAAACTATTTTTGTGTGTGTGACTGCCTTAAACTCCCTCCTCCTCTTCTGCAGTACTGGGGATCAAACTTATGACCTTGCATTTACTGCGTAGGCGCATATGCTGCTGAGCTGTCTCCCCGCCTGAGTTCTTTAAACTCATAAAATACCCTAAAGTAAATGCTGGTGCATTTGCCAGGCTGCCTACGTTGACTTGACTGTGTTGTTTCTGTTCATTCTAGATGGTCACCTGGGCAAGGAAAAGAGAACGAGCCCCAGTATTGAAGAGCTTCATGCTTCCCAAACAGTGAAGAGATGACACGTCCATCAGGACATCTTTTATCTTAACATTATGCATATTGAATAACTTATTTATTATCTCAACATTAGCAGTATGCACTGTTATTTGTATTTTGTAGAAATTTGAGTTTCTGCAAAACACTTAAACCCCCTTGTTTCACTGTACTTGTGAATAAAAGCTAACTGTCATCTGCTTTACTGGATGTGACTGGAAAGAAAAACCATTGGTTTTAAGATATATTTTAAAGATCTTTAAATTTCAGTAATCAGTACATTCTTCTTTCTTTTTGGTACTAGGAGTTGAAAGGACCTTGTGCTTGCCAGGCAGGTATTTGTAACTGAACTATAACCTTGGCTATGTACATTCTTCTTAAAAAAAAAAATTATCCATGTGTTCTGCTCTTTAATATGGCATATTAATTACATTTTCTTCAACTGGAATTATGTGAGTTTATAGAAAATTCATGTTTTAAAAAGATTTGAAGACACTACAACCAGAAAACCTTAATTCCTGTAAAATTCATTTAAAAAGTAGCTATTTTCATTTAACCCTTCATAATTAGGCTGACATAGCTGAATTACTACCTAAAGTTGAACTTTTAAACTAGGTAACAATGTTCTTTTTCTTTCCTTAGACCATTTTGGCTTCTACTGGAAGGTTTAATTAAAAGGTAGAAGGGGAAATCATTCTTTTAATTTTGCTGTAAGTAAAACAAAGAGTTTATTATATAAAGAATGTAAAATACGCATGAAGAGACAGGCTTGGGGAAAAACACCGGAGAGTAGCTTTTAATAGATGGCATTGTTTAAAGCCCCTTTGGCCCTCCATTGTGCAATAACTGATGCGCTCTAAACGGCCGACCCCTTCTTTCTGGGGCTCTGAAAGGCTGGTTAAACATCAGTTTTCATTCTTGAGATTGAAACATTTAAGAGCCTTTCCAGTACTATCTCTAAATGCGCCTGCTATTATTAGGGAAGTTTTATAATACAGAGTCAACAGACTCCGCTGACAGCAGCTCATGTGGTTAGACAGCACTGACTGGCAAGAGCCACGGGTATTCAGAATACAGTGTCACCAGCCACAGCCCTGCCAGTGTGAGGCTGTGGTGTGTTCCATAGGGGAGAGCACAGATGTCTCTTCAGGGTGCTGGGCCTGGGCTGACTTTGAAAGTCAGGGAAACTTGATGCTAGGCAGTGTTACTCCTTACAGATTTAAGGATTTGAATCTAAATGTGAGAAAATATTGCTGTTATTTTTTGTGCTGCTGGGGATTGAACCATAAGCCTTGAGCATGCTAGGTGGGTGTTCTACCACTGAGCTACACTACCAGCACCAAAAAATATTGAGACTGCTTTAAACTACACAAGTCAAATGATTTTTGAGGAGTCCATCTACTTTTTATATATAGATGCAAAGTTTTTTAAGGGCCCATCTCCACTTTTAAATCTTCAATATCCGATTACAGTTATGAATTGCATTGTATTGTATGTGGGAATCTAAATATCTGAGTTTCCCTAAAGGACTTGGTTTATGTCCAGGGATGTTGGCAGTGAACACTTAGGTTTACCTCAGGAATCGCAATCATGTAAGAGCTGGAGTGTATAGTGTTGGATCCTGATGTAACACCATCACAGTGAGAGCTAGAATCATCACATGTCACCCATAGTGCTTTTGTATACATGATTCTGTAACTTGTTTATGCCTAGGGCAACTTTTATACTTACAATGTATCACTTAATAAAAAATATTAAGCAGTTTACCTTTTTGTAAAGGTTGTTTGTGTTACTGTTCTGTCTTTAATCAGAAAGAGGGTTGGAGATGGCTCTCTAGGCCTTTTGGCTGGGGTCTTCTGAATGCTCACTATTTGAATAGGAATTGATGTATGTGTATTTGGCATCAGTCGTGTCATCTTGGGACAGTTACTCTTCTTAGGCTGGCAATGAAGGGGGCGCCTGTGATCAGTCTCTGGGGAGATGGTATAATGTATGGTTTTAAAAAGCACGTTGGAAAAGACAGAAGCCTATTTTCAGAACACTGAAAAATTTTTATGATTATCCAAAAAGGAAGAAATGTTGAGAACATTTGCTCTAGAAGCTTCTTTACTTGGGATATTTGAGCAGTCTCAATCACTTTAAAAAATACATGGGCTGAGGGGCCAGTGAGATAGTTCAGTGGTCTAAAATGCCTGCTTGAGCAAGCTTAGGCAGGTACAGGGGACCACGGTTCAATCCTGGGCACCACATGCTGAGCCAGCTACCCTTGGGATGGGCTGTGCCAGCCAAAAAAATTACATATAGATATCTATATATATAATATAACTTTGTTTTAAAAGTCTCATATATATATGAGACATTTTTAAACAAAAACGTTAAGCCATGCATGTTCAAGGAGGGATGTAAAGATGCAGAAGATGCATTAAACTATTCTCAGTGTCACGACCTTGCTGGTGCTTGGGGAGGGTGCAAGGAGGGTGTTGGGGGAAATTGTGGTCTAGAAACGCTAGAGAAATTTTGAAAAACATCCTTGGATTTCGATAAAAATGGTATGGGAATTAGAATGAAGGGCTTAGAAGAGATGGTGATTTAAAATCTGGGTAATCTTAAAAATTCATAACAGGCTCAGATAGTGTTTGAAGATGACAAATTGAAGTTTAGCATATATGTTTGTATAGAATAATAGCTTTATAATTATGTGCAAGAATACATTTGTATATGACTCACATGCCTGTATGATTATGTAAATGTGATGTATTCTTTTAATCTAAAGCCAAGTGTACATGAAGGTTTAACAGTTGCAAGAATAAGCCTTTAAAGGCATTTAGGACAATACTTCCCAGCCACTTGGTATTTGATTCTTCTATCAACTGTTTATACAAGGATTATGTGGTCTTCATGAATTTTTTAAAAAGGAAAATGGGGTAAATCACTTATGTAACCCAAGCTAGCCCTGAACTCAAGGCACTCCTGCCTCAGCCTCCTGAGTATTAGGATTACAGGCATGTGCCATCATGCCAAGCTAAAATTACCCTCTTAAAAACATCTTATTTTTAAAGCAGTTGTAGGCACACAGCTAACTCGTACAGTACAGGGCCCCCATCTGCTTCCACCCATGTGTACACAGCCTGCCATGCTGCTAGCATCCTGCACTGACAGGACACATTTGTTAAAGTGGCTGAATCTAGAGTGAAACACTCATCTCAAATCCATAGTTACATTTTGGTTCACTCTTGTCCAACTTGTGCTTTGGACAAAGGTATAGTGACATTCATCACTGTAGTATTACACAGCATAGTGTTGCTGCCCTGTAATCCTGTGTGTTGTGCCTATTCCTACCAATTGTAGAATATTGTATAGCTGGAGTTGTCCAGGACACAACCTTTCAATCGGCTTCTCTTACTTTGCAATGTACATTTAAGATTCTTTCAAGTTTTTATGGCTTGACAGATCATTTCTTTTTAGCCTTAATAGTCTACTGTTAGTTATCCATCACCTGTCAGAGGATATCCTGGTTGCCTCCAAGTTTTTGGCAAATTTAAAGCTGCTATAAGGATCTGTGTGCAGATTTTTGTGTGGACAAACATGTTTTCAACTCCTTTGGGTTAATCCAAGAAGTGTGATGGGTATGGTTGTGAAACTATTTTAACTGAGAACGCTTCCAAAGAGAATCTGGAGTTGCCATGAGCCTGGACTTGGAGACTGGTGATGAAGGAAGGAGTCTTGCAGGTAACTGCAAAGCACGGGGCCATTGTGAATGAAACGGACATGTTCCTGTGCAGCCAGTTGGAGCTGAGTTGTGCTTGTGATCAGAAATTGTGTTCCTATCTTTATGAAGTAGCAGGTCGTGGGCCAGATGGACTTTAGTTGATTTTTGAATGGATACTCTTTTAAGTAGTCCGAGAGTACATGTAGGACTAAATCTTAGACTCAATCTTTGTCCATATTAAAAACTGGAATAGATCACACTTGGGGGCTTTTGGGAACCAATAGCAAGTAAAGAGCTATTTGATTACAAAAGAAGCCAGAAAAGGAAATTCCCTCCTGCCATCTTGTTTCATGAGTTTTTGCAAATTCTCATTCATCAGCCCCCCACAGAAAAGACATGCAAAGGAAAACTGCTTCACAAGACTGGGCATGGTCAGTTGCTGCTCTGCTGTCTCTCGGGTAGATGATTGTTCAAAAAGAAGGGTGTGGTGAATGAAGGCAAGAGATAGGAAAAGGAATATTGTGGGACTGTCCTGCTTCAAGGTTGTATATGGTTAGATTTTTGGACTTACGTGTAAACAT